TGCTTTACAGTGACACCACTTTTCGGAGCTTGTAGCTCTCCATATTGCTTTGTCATCATCCAGCTTCTTGCCTACCCAATAAACTATCGGTGTGCTTCAGTCCTTCTGCCTATTTTTTCCTTCTGCAAACCTGCCTAAACACCTTTTCGGGTGTTTTTTCCTTTTGCAAACCTGCCTAAACACCTTTTTCTAGACACACTTGTCTAAGAGAATGGCTAATTGTTATATAATCTCATAAAAGTCTGTTATCTATTTTATACATGTATGTATGCATGGGCTGCCATATTCATTCATTACATATTCAGCCTTTGCTTCCTAAGGGATTGGAAAGCAATTTTGTCTTTTGTTGAACTTATCTCAGTGCAAGTCATGCAGACAGGGTTTGTCTGTGAAATCAGTAGCTTTTCTGCAGTCTCTAAACATGTGAAGTAGCCACAATGCTCCTGGGAGCCACAGGCCATGTGTTCCTTACCCAGGTTGCAGAGCCTAGTGGATATCCATTTTGAGGGAGGTAATATGCCCTGCCCTGCCTTGCCATGAATATCTCCCCAATGAGAGGTGCCTGTTTGTAGTGTTTGAGCCTCCTTCTGTTACCAGTAAGACTTGACAAATGGATTCAGAAGAGGAAAGCATTAGCCAGGTTACACAGGTATGTAAAAGATGTGAAAAATACTCACCACATCCTGGGGGAGCCTTTAATTATGCTGATCTTGTATTAGGGCCATTGGATTGATGTAGGATTGGGGAGTTTATGGATAGCCTTCATCTATAAATCTCAGGGCCATAATTGGTGGATTGTATTCTTCATGGGTTTAGAGTACATTTTCAACAAGTACAGGAAATATCTGTTGATCTTGCCAGAACTGCAGTGACCTTGTCCCTTCCTGTGAGCTTTGAAGAAAGCACAGAGATCCTTCTCTATCTTAAACTGCTATTCCTATCAATCGATTTTGTAATAGATATGAATAACATATGGCAGACATGAAGTCCTGCTGTATGGCAAACCTAGCTGCCCCAAAAGATGGAGGAGAAATGTGTGTAAACATGAAGGGACAGAGGAAGTGTGCTATTCGCAGAATCACCAGGTAAAAATTACAAACAAATGCAGCCACCACACCTAAGCTGCAATATACTACAGTTTTGTTTGAGTTTCTATATTGTTAATATTCACTCTGTTCACTTTATTAGCTGAAGAATAGAAATTGGGCTGTATTTATCAAAGCGCCTTCAGATTCAAATTCTGCTGCAGATCTTGTACAAGATCATGTTTTATAACAGGACTGACTATCTCCATCCACTCTCCAGTATTAATAATAACAACAGTATTTTTCTGTATTAGACAATTAGTACCTTGTGCTATTTAATTTGAAGAATCTGACATTCACAAAAACTGTGTTGTGCTTATAGTCTTTGCCTACTGATGTAATAAAATCCATTGGCATTGTAGTATTATTCCCATACAACCTGGATGTAATTTCCAGGAACTGTCTCCGATTTTACAATGCCCATAAGATACATTCATCTGTGCTTTAGGCTGATTGGCTCTATATAACGATTGCAGCATGTTTGTGAATGTAACCCATTGATTGTATTGTGATCCAGGAACCCCCAAGACTGTCTGAAAGGTCACGTGGTATGTACATATTTGGTCTTCGCACAGAAGGGGGAATACAAGGTCAGAAAAGATTCAGTTAAAGTGATAGGGTATAGAGAAATAAATCGGTTTCTTTTAATCTCTGGTCTTTCCTGTCAAGGCAGACTTTCCAGCTCCTTGGCTTGTCGTCTCCAGTATTTACTGCATTTCAGCCTCTCCATGTGCACTTCACAGGGTACATAGATCCATTGATAAGTGTCCCTGCCTCCTGAAAGAGCTCACAATCTGACGTTCCTTCTACACACACTATTGGCTGCTTTTGAGAGGAATCCAATTAACCTATATGTATGAGTCTCAGATTATAGAGAAGGCGGGAGCTGGAAAAAACCCACTGATACATGGATAGAGAACATACAAAGTCATACCAGGTGGGACTAAAACCCAGGACCCGGAGCTGCAAGGCAACAAGCATCAACTACAGTAGTTAGCCCCTGTACTGCTGTTAACATAACCTTAAGTCACTGTCTGGAAATCAGCCCTCTCCATGGGGAACAGAACACTCCATTCTTCCAACAGTAAAGCCGGCCATAGATGAAGCGATTTTCTTTCTTGCAACCATGGGTTGCAGGAAAAAAAATTGCTTGATTCCCCCATCAACACAGTCAGTGTGATTCCCTCCTGCAGAGCTATTGTGTTCTCCCGGCTGGAGGGCGGGGAGAGTCGTCCCCTCTGGGAGAACACAGTGATTACTGCTAGCGGCTATATTAGTTGCTAGCAATAATCGAATGTAAAACCGGACAGGCTGGCTGTACCCAAGATGATCGATCAACTTAGGTACATTCAGCCTGACCATACATGACTCAAACAGTCTACGGGCAGCTTTGCAATATTTTTAGAAGCTCTCATAATTAGGAACTTTATGTGACCCTTTTTCATTGTATCACAGCTGTCAATAGTGGGGAAGGATGGAGGAGATGGGACAGACACAGCACACTGACTTTCAATGAATGTAGAAAAGCTATGGTGTATTTTTATTTTCAGTGAACACATATGTTGAGTTTGTTTAATTGTTGCATTGTAATATTTTTAGGTAGCTCACAGTTTTACAAGCTTAATGTACCATATTTCTATTTTGTTACATGCTTAGATTTGTAGATTTTCCTTTTCCAACTGTCACTATTTTATTGCAGTCTCGTAGCTTGAATAAAATTAAAATTATATAAAGGTACATTATTGCAAGATTTAAAGCCAAACTCCAGAAATTACAAAAAAACTACCCTTGCCGTGAGCCTGCTCCCCCCATGCCCTGCATTCCAAGGGTTCAATACTCATTAACTCTTGGGGACGAGGAATAAGGTGTCATATGCACATCAGGCTCTGTTCTCTGTACAGCTGGTCCCTCCTGTAAGGTGCCCAATGACGTCATCAGGTACAATGCAGGACCAATATCTCTGCTCTGTATGTGAAACCTTGAAATTGGGCTCATTGATAGATTCTTTACATTAAAGTAAATGTAAAGCCAATCACACCAATCTCATATAAGCTTCAGCATGACTTCAAAAGACATTTTTGGTATTTTAAAGTCTGCAGCTTTCATAAATAATACCTGCCGATCCATGCTGTTCTTGGGTGACAATGCTTTGTCACTTTCCCCTAATTGCTATCCAGCATTGCCATTTATTATCAACCCTCCAAATGGAGACTATGATCAGCTGTGTCAATGCCAACTTACCTTGAGAAATGTGCAGCAGTATCTGAAGTAAAATGGCTGTAGACCCCCTTTATGGCAGGGCAAGACGTATTACTCACCACATTTGATTTAGGGGATCAGCTTGTTCATCCTAAAGGCTGTGGCACAGAGTACATGCTGCACATTCAGCACAAACATACCTGTGGTGTCAGAAATACTGTGATTTCCTGACTGAAGTTGAGGGTCGGAGGCCTAGTTCACTCTGGACATCACGCCATGCATTTTGCTTCATGTTTCAACACAACAGGATGCATGGGCAAGAGAATAAAACATTGCTTTCAGTAGGTCAGTTCCCACCATTGCAATGTGTTTAAAAGAAATAAACATTAAAATAACTGTGTTGCAGTATAACAAGGAAGATACAAAATGACTCCTAATAAAGGAAGGAACTCCATGAACAGATAATAGTTTTATATAAAATGGTATGTTTTCTTCCTCTAGTCTGTCTAGCCATAGAGACATTTCCACTTTCCACAGTAATGGCCTTCACGCTCGCACAGTCAATACACTATTTACAGTAATGTTTTAGAGCAGTTATGGCAATCTCGGGATCATTGTGTAAGATGAGTTGTTGTTTCCACTTACTGCTTTATCTTTATGTATGTGGATTAAACTTTAGAGATATTTTTAGTTTAGTATTTTTTTCAGCTTTTTTTTAAGGCTTTATACCTATGTAATCGTTTTTAAAAAGGTCAGTCCACCTAGGACTGGTATGCCAGCCATTGTTTGTGAGGAGCCAAATCATTTAATGACTTTTTATCTTTAATGGACTGAAGAAGCCAAAGTTTCTAGCAGTAACCCCTCCATCATTTTACTCCTTCTGCTGCCAGCCATCCTCTCCTGTTTTTATTTTCAGTAATGGTAAATCATCCAATTGGATAGTACAATACAGCAATCTTGCTACAGAATGACGATAAATAAAATAATAGCATCATACTCTGGTTTTCAAAAAAATAAATTCTATGTTTTAAATGGACTAACCTTTGAAGTAAATGTAAACCCTGGATGGATGGCATTCATGGGGTTATTTTGCTTAAACTGGAGAGGACAAAATCTGGTGCAACTCTGCATAGAAACCAATCAGCTTCCAAGTTTTATTGCAAAAGCTGAAGTTCGAAGCTGATTGGCTACCATGAACAGCTAAACCTTATTCTGAGTTCACCAGTTTTTGTAAATTTCTCCCTGTGTTTGTTAAATTGTGTATCATAAACAATTGTTCATGTTCATTTCTTTCCATAAAATACTGTTTTTGTCCTCCTTTTTTCATATCAGAACATTAGATACCTGGTAGCCAGGTGGGACTGCTTGAACATACAAGCTCCCTGTATATCCAAAGGCCATGTAATCAAACATAGGAAGGAATACTCCGTTTTATTTTTCACCTCAGTACTGATGATCTCTTGCTGGTTCTTTCAGCCACTTCTGGCTTACATGCACTTGCTCCAGCATTGGCTGCATATCATTGCTCTAGGCAGGCATTCTAATGGTGAAAATGGGGGAAGATGCCTGAACAATGTGTCTGTATGGCTGTTTGTTGTCTCCACTGGGGCACATGATAGGGTGACAATACAGGAGCTCAAGTGAGGGACATTTTCACCCCGTAACAGGAAGTTCCTAAAGGAAGACTTTCATAGTAGGATCACCAAGTATTCTTTAAAGTGTTACTAAACCCACAATAGTAAAATCAGTCTGTATATGCAGTAAAGCATGCTTGTTATACTCACTGTTGAGTAAGGGGTTAATCCTCTGCATTGTGTAAAAAAAGATGTCTGATCCTGATTTCTCTGCCTCTTCTTGTTGAAATGACCACCTAATACAGACTGAACACGTGGTCACATGCTCAGTTTGGTGTGCATTGCTAGAGAGGCTTTTGGGTTTTTTTTTGGGAGGGTGCATGTAATCAGCAGATGGCCAATCAGCACTGTCCAGGCAGAGGGTCAAGGATTTCACATCCTCCTAGAGCAGAAAGAAAAATACTTCTACAAGCTTTAACCAGTGCTCTGCTGAAGTTACAAGACTGCTCTAACAGCTGATGAGAAAAGGTATTTAGCAGTTTATATTTACTAAAATAATTCCATTTCTATGTTGTGTGTACTGTGGGAGATCAGATAGAGTGAATGCAGGGTCCGGGGTTTATTATGACTTTAAATTAAAGCAGCAGGTTTTAAAAGATGAAAAACCATTTTGGAATTACATTAACATGTTTAAGATGATATTATTTGAAGTGTCTGGATGTAGAGCTACTGCAACGATCATCTCAGTCTTAGAATTTTAGTGCACTGTTTTGTATATCATTTTCTTTATTATGTGGGAATCTAAAAGGGTATTTTTTTCAGTTGCATAAATGTGAAATGTATTATAGTCATATTTATAACTTGTAGCCAGCAGGTAGCATGCCTGAGGTGGCTCTTGGCTCTTTACCAAGCCAATGTAAAGTGATATTACAAGCAATAAAAAAAAAATGTCATACTTACCTGCTCTGTGCAGTGCAGCCCTGATCCTCCTCTTCTCAGGTCCTCCACCAGAACTCCTGGCCACTTTGAGTGCCCTCAGAGCAAGCAGCTTGCTCTGGGGGCACCCAAGCAGGCTCGCTCTCACTGGCTGTAATTGACAGGCAGTCAATGGCTTCCACTGCCAATGGCTTCCACTGCCAATGGCTTCCACTGCTGTCTCAGTCAATGAGGAGGGAGCATCCCCAGAGAGCCAAGGCTCTTGTGCACATTGCTGGAACGCAGTGGGGCTCAGGTAAGTATTAAGTGGGCTGGGGGGCTGTTGCACACAAGTTTATCTTTATTCATAGAATGCATGAAGGTAAAAAACCTTGAGCCTTTGAAAGACTTTAAGCTGGTCATACATAGATCCAAATTTGGCTGGTTCAGCAGGAACCGAGGGGGAGAGGAGGAGTCTCTACTGTTGTAATACAGTCTCTTGTGAATTTGGGGACCTGTCTGTTTTTCTTTGTTCAGCCTGCTGGTTGAATGGAAAACACTGCATGTATATACACTGCTCAAGCTCCATGTGAGTTTCATAGCTTACACAAGGTTGATTACCTGCTTTATTGCCTTAAATGATAGTTTTCAGGACTGGTGTTTGGCTGCTAAAGATGAAGTAAAGGTCACATGATCACACCTGAAAGCATCAGGTATTTCCAAGGGCTCTGACAGACTGGACAGGGTGCTGGGGTGGGAAAAGTGAGTATCATTGGGTGGATTGGGGTCAGAAATTATCAATTCTTTTCAAGCATTGTTTTCAATTTTAGGTATATTCTGATGTCTTAGAACAGCCTTTATAAACCTTTTCAGAGGAACCCTTGACATAACTTTCCGGTCTCAGGGAACCCCTGCTAAAATTACTTTATCTACAATTCATGATACATTAGTGTGATAGTCAGAGGTAAGAATGTTCCTTACACTTGTGGTCATTGGGAAGAATTACCCCCTTACAGATCGCTAAAAAGATCAATGGTGTCAGTGGGAACTTGCCTGAGAGGCAAAAATTGCTCAATGAACCCCTAGACATGTCTGGAGGAACCCCAGTTGAGAAACCCTGTCCTAGAGGGTGAAAACAAGCACACAGGGTCATGTGGTCACAAGTGCATTTCCTTCATGTTGGTACAGAGAAAAGTACTTTTGAAACCAATGACATGTGCCACTGTCATTGACAGTAGGGCTTTATGGCAAGTCTCTGACTTACACACCTGTTTGAGAAAAGACAGAGATATCTGCCCATCCATGACCACCCTATGTACTTATATACATTACAGTGGAAGAAAAGTCGAATAAAAATTCTTTTAACATTTGATGAATGTCGTTCGAAAATTGTCTTTTGCTTTTAACATTCGACTTTAAAGTGAATGTCATTTCCAAATGATAACCACATCCACTGGCCGAAAATTAGTTTGAGAAGTTTTCCCTTCCTGCCCCCTCGAATTTTCCCATCACTGCTGTTGAAAACGAACATCGATTTGACCCCACTAACAATTATAAAATCAAACAAATATTCTTGAAACTATAATTCTCAAATGAAAATCTATACATGTATGGCCAGCTTAAAGTGGAGCTCCACCCAAAAGGGGAAGTTCCGCTTTATGCCTTTGTCCCCCACTCCCTATTAAGGATTGACACCTTGGGGAGTGGGTACCTGAATTTGACAGGTACCCACTCTCACTTCTGCTGCGATTGCCTAGGTGATCAGAAGCGGAAGTTATCCTGCCCCGCTCCCTCCCCGTAATCTTCCGGGACACGTGACAGGTCCCAGAAGACTACGGGGCAATTCACAAAGCACAGAGCTTCACGCGTATGCGCAGTGGGCACCCGGCTGTGAAGCCATAAGCTGTCACAGCCAGGTAACCACACTGAAGATGCCGGCGCCAGGGAGAGAAGACGGCCGGTGAAACCAACGGTGGTGAGGACACCGCTGAACCGAGGGACAGGTAAGTGTCTGTATTTTAAAAGTCAGCAGCTACAGTTTTTGCTGCTTCCTTTTTTTTTGTTTTTCAGGTTGAACTCCACTTTAAGTCTCAATTTAGCCACAAGCTTACAAGGCTAAACTGTTGTGCTCTTTGCATCCTTTCCTGACTGTCCCAAAGAAGGCAAAAGCTTCTCACAAACCTTGCAATTCAGCAATTAATTATGTGAAATCATTAGAATAGTTCAACAATCACATAATGTCTTACATGCCTACCCTCAGTCTGCAGGCCACTTTACTAGCTAACCTTGCTGCCTTTTCTGATCGGAGTAGAATCATTTCTGTTTCCAGGACAAGCAGATGCAATGTGCCTCCATTATCATAGAAACATTGAAGAAAGATCTTTATTCCTCCCCTGCTCTCTGCTATCTCACCTTCTGCTTTTCTTCATGAATAATTATCTTTACATAGTAGCGGAACGTATGTTACTCCGCTCAGCTATCTCTGTGTGTGTGGTTCTGTTTGTTTCTGTGTGCCATCTGTGTTCTTTTAATGCCCGTTTATAGCTACACAGGCACTTTGTGTTCACTTATGCATTTGTGTTTTTTATAGCTTTTTGTGTTAATTTTAGATCTTTGCATGATTCTGTAGTTCTCTATACATAAATTGGAAAATAAATTTGGTCTGGTAATTGTCTATGATAACATGGTTTGTGGTATGCTTTGTACATGTGACAGTTAAAACCGTGATCCTTACTTATTTTTGCATGCACTAGCTTTACTTGGATTTTTGCCAATTTTTAGGACTTTTTTTTAAATGTGTACCATGAAACTACCAATTTAATTATCTAAAATTTAAATATACTTTCCCCTTTTCCCCAAAGCAAATACATCTTTTAAGTTTCTAAAAGCAGAACTCGAGTTTTGCCATTGTGGAAGCATTTATATATGATAATAACACACTCTCCATCTGTACTGAAACCTCCATAGAAGTGGTCTCTCGAGACCTGTACTGCCCCTCTCTACCGCTCCCTTCTAAAGCGGAATGACCTGCTGATGTTGAAGCAGTATCAGCAGTTTCAGGCCGAGCTGCTTGATGCATATTCACAATGCTCCGTTCGAATTTGGGTCAGCAAAGAAGCACGCATAGCCTTGGAACAACTGTGTAAATAAGAGTAGAGCTATCCATAGGACTTCATGCCATACACAAGTATATCCAAAACTATTTTCCTTATTACATACAGAGCAGGGAATGTTGATAACCCTTCACTACATGTACTACAGACACAACAGGAAGTGACAGATAATCTTCCCAAAGTGAGGGAAATGCCCTGGTACACAGTTGTCAAAGACTTCGCTGTTGTAAGATTTCCCCTCTATTTCTGTTCTGGTTTCAAGCCCAAAATTTTCGATTATTCCCTCACTGTCAATCACAGCGTCAACGATTATCAGGATAGAGTAAGGCCCGCATCAAGGCACCTTGGACTTTTGGTAATCGCATCAGTCTGAGATCAGTCAGACGTCATTGACAAGTGCATTTGACCTGCAGCTGTTCTCCTGATCTGCATTTCAGCTGCTTCAGGCGGGTTTTGTGTCCCCATAGACGTTTATGGGAATGCAAAGCCCAAATGAAGTGAGCAAAACCCCATCAAAACATAACACCGGCCTGCAACATAGAAAAGTGACAGCAGAAAAAATACTGAGTGGTCTTCCCATTTGTTTTTATTACGCTTTGTTTTTTTATTGTTTTTCATTTTTTTGTATTGATCTATGCTTGTCTGAAGCATGTTTGAAGCTATTTACTATTGATTGGCTCTGCTAACGCCCTACAACTCTTATCAAAAACTGTTTTGGCTTTAGATACACTTTAAGGAGATTGTACTGGATTTCTGTCAGGACCAACAGGAATTACCTTACAACAGATATCAAACAAACACTTTTAATGATATATCGATAGACTAAAAGGGATCATATAAGTCAAATGTATTGTTAGGATTAACATACACTTTAGGGGTTGCTTCTTTATTTATATTTTTTGTCATCAGGGTCTTTTGTGTGTACTCCATAAGGGGCAAGCTATATATATATGTTTTGTGACTTGATGTCTTACCTCTAGATGGTATTTATTGCTGTTTCTCTACTGGAGTTGAGATTTAGCTATAAATAGCACATATAGGTCCAATTATGCACGTGTGTTCTCATGAAATAAACCCTAATAAGTAGGTTGTTTCTTCAGAAAGGACTGAATATAGGAAACCTGATTGAGATGAGAGTGTCCATTAAGGTTGGTGATGTGGCTGTAAAAAAGAATACATAGCATACTAACCAGACATAACATAGTCTCTGTGTGCAGCCCACTTTACACCAGC